GTATAAGAGAGTAATGAAGAGGATGGAAGAGGTTACAGTCTGTTAGGGTATAAGAGAGTAATGAAGAGGATAGGTTACAGTTAGGGTATAAGAGAGTAATGAAGAGGATGGAAGAGGTTACAGTCTATTAGGGTATAAGTGAGTGATGAAGAGGATGGAAGAGGTTACAGTCTTTTTTAAAGTATAGGAGTGTATAATGAAGAAGAATGGACGAGGATCAGCCCCGGACTGGCCATAGGGCACACATCTCTTTCCTTTCTTTTCCCTTTTCCTTTTCCTTTCTTCTGAAGATCATACAAATATTATAAAGGAGTGACTTCTAGATTGTAAGCTCCAAGGAGCAGGGCCCTCAAATCCCTCTTGTGTTGAACTGTATTGTTACTGTATTGTCTCCCACTATAATGTAAAGCGCTGAGCAAACTGTTGGCGCTATATAAATCCTGTATAATAATAATACAGTAGGTCAATCAGCCTGTGATACCTCTAAGCAGAAGATAGAGGATGTGATTGAGCATAGTTAGTATGCTTGGAATGTGGTTTTATTGTTTGGGGGAACATGCTGGTTCTTCAAGTTTCAGTTAGCCACTGGAAGGGTTAAGACTAAAAAGACAAGGAAGAGATAAATCACAAAAACAGCTTTGCCTTTGCTGTTGATAAATGGCTGACTTGTGGTCAGCTTGCACTCAGAAGGCGACATCTTTCTGAGGCCTGTTCAGTTCTCAGAAAATCAGCACTCAGGCATCACCCTGACCTTTCCCTATCTTAGCAGCAGTAATAATGCAGCTACAACTGAAGAGCTGTCATCAGAAAAGAGAGCTGTCATTATAGTTGTATAATGTGTTGGCAGCTCTGTCCTACTCATAAAAGATGTTTGTGAAAAAGTCTTATTTCCATCCCCTGCAGATTTCAGCAGCTCTGATGACAGGAAACAGGAAGTGAGCCTCTCTCTTCATTACTGTATATTACAGTATGTAGGAGTCTTGCTTATTTTTATATTTTATCAGGTAGAATACTTTTCTACGTTTAAATAATATGTTAACACAACATTTCATATTCCTGATATACAGTTGCAAGAAAAAGTATGTGAAACCCCTTGGGATTACGTGGAATTTTGCATGAATTGGGCATAAAATGTGCTCTGAACGTCATCTAAGTCACAACAATAGAAGAACACAGTCTGCTGAACATAATACTACACAAATATTAAATGTTGCCATGGTTTAATTGCACATACCATGTAAACATTCACAGTGCAGGGAGGAAAAAGTATGTGAACCTTTGGACTTAATAACTGGTTGACCCTCCTTTGGCAGCAATTACCTCAACCAAACATTTCCTGTAGTTGCAGATCAGACCTGCACAACGATCTGGAGTAATTTTGGACCACTCCTCTTCACAAAACTGTTTCAGTGTAGCAATATTCTTGGGATGTCTGGTGTGAATCACTCTCTTAAAGTCATGCCACAGCATTTCAATCGGGTTGAGGTCAGGACTCTGACTGGGCCACTCCAGAAGGCGTATTCTGTGCTGTTGCAGCCATTGTTTTGTGGAATTACTTGTATGCTTTGGGTCATTGTCCTGTTGCATCACCCATCCTCTGCGGAGCTTCAGTTGGCGGACAGATGATCGTACGTTTTCCTGCAAAATGTCTTGATAAACTCTGGAAATCATTTTCCCATCAATGACAACAATCTGTCCAGGCCCTGAGGCAGCAAAGCAGCCCCAAACCATGATGCTCCCTCCGCCATGTTTTACAGTGGGGATGAGGTTTTGATGTTGGTGTGCTGTGCCTTTTTTTTCTCCACACATAGTGTTGTGTGTTCTTCCCAAACAACTCAATCTTGGTTTCATCTGTCCACAGTATATTTTGCCAGTAGTGCTGTGGAACATCCAGGTGCTCTTTTGCAAACTTCAAACGTGCTGCAATATTCTTTTTGGACAGCAATGGCTTCCTCCGTGGTGTCCTCCCATGTTCTCCATTCTTGTTTAATGTTTTCCTTATTGTAGATGTGTCAACAAAAATGTTAGCATGTGCCAGAGATTTCTGTAGGTCTTTAGCTGACACTCTGGGATTCTTCTTTACCTCATGCAGCATTCTGCGCTGTGCTCTTACAGTCATTTTTACAGGACGACCACGCCTAGGGAGAGTAGCAACAGTGCTAAACTTTCTCCATTTGTAGACAGTCTGTCTTACCGTGGACACATGAACATCAAGGCTTTTGGAGATACTTTGTAACCCTTTTCAGCTTCATGCAAGTCAACAATTCTTGATCGTAGGTCTTCTGAGAGCTCTTTTCTGCGAGGCATGGTTCACATCAGACAGTGCTTCTTGAAACCAGTAAACCCAAAACAGGTGTGTGTGTTTTTTAAGGGCAGGACAGCTGTCAGCAACACATCCAATATCATCACACTGATTGGAGTCAATGTTGGCTCACTCCTGGCTCCAATTAGCTCTGGAGAAGTCATTAAGCTAGGGCCTCACATACTTTTTCCTCCCTGCACTGTGAATGTTTACATGTTATGTGCAATTAAACCATGGCAACATCTAATGTTTGTGTAGTATTATGTTCAGCAGACTGTGTTCTTCTATTGTTGTGACTTAGATGATGTTCAGAGCACATTTTATGCCCAATTCATGCAAAACTCCACGTAATCCCAAGGGGTTCACATACTTTTTCTTGCAACTGTATGCCTGTTCTACCATGCACTTGTGTGACATCCCTGGTGTTCCTCTGATTTCCTATTAAAAACTGACCGCACTAAGCAGGAGAACACAGTGTGGTCAGTTCTCTAGCTATGCTGCGAAGATTCGTGTGCTGCTGTTTCTCTTCCCCCAGCTCTTATCTGGCTGAAAACAAAGGGAATGTGATCACTTATAGTGTCAGATGAGGTTATTTTTTTGTCTTAAGTAATTCTAAAGGATACATTAAAAAAAAAACATAAAAACGTATACTTACCTGCTCTTTGCAATAGTTTTTCACAGAGCAGCCCCAGTACTTCTCTTCTGAGGTCCCCTGCTGGTGCTCCTGGCTCCTCCTCCTGCTGAGTGTCCACACAGCAAGCCGCATGCTATTGGGGCACTCATGCAGACTCAATCCTAATCCACGCTCTGTGTGTCCATCGACACATGGGAGTGCAGATCGACCTTGTCCCCAGCTTCCCCTCACTGGCTGTCATTAATACCAGCAGTAGCCAATAGCTCGCACTGCTGCCTCCCTGTCCATTAAGGAGAGAGAGAGAGCTGAAAGAGCACCTGCTCTCTCGTGCAGATTATTCTCATATTTTGCTGCAATTAGGGTTCTTTTAGACATGCAGAGAAATTTGAGTGCTCATTAATTACCTAATGCGCGAGATTTACTAAAACTTTAGCATGTAAAATCTGGTGCAGCTCTGCATAGAACCCAATCAGCAAGCATAATTGAACAAGCTGAATTAAAGCTAGGCTCACACTAGCCCAGACACTGTGGCCTGGTTGCTGGTTCAGGAATCAATGTGATTCCCGCAACCACCCACAGCTACATCATGCTTCTCTTGCGAGTAGGGGGGACCATTCATTCTGAATGGCACCCAACGCATCTCATCCCACAGCGCGATTGCAGCGTGATTGCGGGTGCGGCAACCGCACGGAAACCGCATGGTCAAAAAGGCGCTTGCACCTTTTCTGAAATGCGGGCACAGCAGCCCACTCAAATGAATGGGCTACTGTGCCTGCGCAAAAGCAGACCTCACTGCCTGCACTAGTGTGAACCGGGTCTTAGAAGCTGATTGGCTACCATGCACACCTGCACCAGATTCTAAATGCTCACGTTTTATGAAATCTCCCCCAATATGTCAAGATGTGTTAAAAAACACTTGCCAGCTTGATGGATAGATTGACTTGTGTACAACTAGCCTTACCATACATGGATCGAAATTTGGCTGATCTGTGTTGAACTGGCCAAATTTCGGCCCATGTATGGCTGCTCTATTCGAGCCACAGAGTTCTCTTTTAGAAAGCACTGTGCCTGAAGTGAAACATGTCAGAGTAGAACTTTCTGCTGGCTATTTTCATAAAGGATGAATGTTATTTTACGTCTCAGTGTGCAGTATTCCAATTGCTGGTACATTTAATTGCTTTGGTAGAGTCGACCTGAGCCAGAACCTGAGATGTAATTATTGAGCCTGATCTTGCCTGGAGCGACAGTGCTGCAAGAGATGGGTAATGATTTAGAACCTCTGTGGGATATTTATTGATGTCTGTGCATTTCTGCGTCGATGACACCTTTCCCTCCCTTTCTTACAAGAAACACCTGACAAAGGTTCTTTCCCTTTTACATCCTATTCAGAACTGAAAAAAAATTGGGTGGATTTGGACTTCCAAAGAGAACTCCAGATAAGCAGCTAAATGCAAAGCGGAAATACATGTGTGAGCTGTTTTATCTCGGCTCTGGGCATATCTTATTTTTTTTAGTCTAAATCTCCCCCTACCACTCTAGAAAACACCCTTACCGCCTTCCTGTTGGGAGAAAATCTTTGAAGTGCAGTTGGTATTATCACTTAGCTTCAAGATCTCTTCCAACAGCGGAGCACAGAGGTAAAGTCTGCAAGCCACCCTACATCATTTCGGGCGTGACCTGCAGAACTAATAGGGAGCATTGAGAAGACCAGCCACACAATCATCTTGGTTGACCAGTCTCCTCAACAGAAACGCTGCCTCAAGAACTTTCAGGAGACCGATTTTCCTGAATAATTAGGGATAAAAGAAACAGAGGTATATTAAATAGAAAACCCTATAATAAAGATGAGACACCTATTAAAAAAAGAAAAAATCTTCCCAAAGAATGAGGGAAGATGCAAAGCTGAAACAACATATAGTAATTTCACTTGTCTGGCACTTGTGTGACAGAGGTGTTTACGTGGAGTTCCATTGTAAGCAATACTTTCTAGTGAATTTCTAGGGGTAAATGTCTATATTAATTGCTTGTCTTCTGTTTTCTTTAAGTTTCCCTGTGTGGCCCAGAATGGCAAACTGCGGAGTGAACACAAAGAACAAAGTCACAGTTAATAAGCCAGTTTGGGAATTTCTCAACAAAGAGACTCCATCCAAACTAAACCGTCTGAGAGAAGACAGTGGAGTTCGTATTCTGATTGACGGTGAAACATCGGAGATTTATGTGTTACGATTGTCTGTTGACCAGCCATGTTCCAGCAAATGCTATCTCTCTGGCTAGAAAAGCTCTAAAATCTTTGCTAAAAGACACTGAGAAAGAGTTGAAAAAATCCTACAAGCAGCACCAGCTGTCGGGTTTTGTGGCTTACACAGATAAGAACAGTGACCATACAGGTGAAACACACAGCCGTAGTACTTATGGTAGAAGCCTACCAACATTCAGTGGTCGAGGAATGATACTTGGAAGTTCTAGTGGGGGTGCTAGTAGCAGTCATGGGAGCTCTCGTGACCACAGAAGAGAAGAGACAGAAGATGACAGAGAAAACCAGTGTCCTATTTGTCTGGGTGAAATCCAAAATATAAAGACGTTGGAGAAGTGCCAGCATTCATTCTGTGAGGATTGTATTACCAGGGCTCTCCAAGTGAAGAAAGCCTGTCCCATGTGTGGTCGTTTCTATGGGCAACTCGTGGGAAACCAACCCGAAAATGGCAGAATGTTGGTATCCAAGGACTCTGGGCTATTGCTTCCTGGCTACGAGAAGTATGGGACTATTATCATCCAATATGTCTTCCCACCAGGCATACAAGGGGTAAGAAATCCACTTACAGTTTTTCATTGCAAGCAGTGAAGTCGAAAGTGCAACAGTTAACAGGAAGGGCAGATGCTAGAGTGTTGTAATGCTGGCCATAGATGACTGCCAGTCCTCCATCAACACAGCGAGTGTTGATAGGGAAATTCCTCTAACGGAGCTTTCGTGTTCTTCCGACGGGGGGGCACATTCCTGCCAGGTGAACACAGCAATTAGCGCCTATAGACACTGACAAAAATTGAATGTAAAAATCCAACATACTGGTTGTACCCAAGTCGGTCGATGTACCTACATGAGTACAGTCAGTCTGCCCATAGATGGTTTGAATCTCAGATGGTCCATGCTAAACCAGCGGAGACTCAAACCATCTATGGCCAGCTTAAGTCATTAGACAGTTGATCAGAGCAAGGGACAGACAGAACAGAGTAAGCAGACTGGTGGCCAGGCCATGTGCAGACAGACAAGTCCAGATTCCAGGCAGACAGAGCTATCCACAACATGAGCAAAGGGACAAATATGTTGATCAGATGGGCTTGAAGCTGTGGCCTCTTTAAAGTGCTTGTAAAGATTCAAGGTTTTTTTCCTTCATGAATTCTATGCATGAAGGTAAAAAAAAAACCTCCTGTGTGCAGCAATGCCCTCAGCCCCCTAAAACCTACCTGAGCTCCATCTCGATCCAGCGATGTACATGAGATCAGCGGCTCTCCCAGGTCTCTCCCTCCTCATTGGCTGAGACAGCAGCGGGAGCCATTGGCTCCCGCTACTGTCAATCACAGCCAGTGAGGAGAGAACAGGGGTGGAGCTGAACCACACTCCAAGTGTGAATGGACACACATAGCAGCGGCTCGGGAGTGAGCCCATACACGTGCCTTCATAGCAAGCTGCTAAGCAGGAGGGAGAGGCCAGTAGCACCGTTAGGGAACCCGAGCAGAGGAGGGATTGGGGCTGCTTTGTGCAAAACCATTCCACAGAGCAGGTGAGCATGACATGTTTGTTATTTTTAAATAAAACATTGCCTTTAATATCACTAATTAGAGCAGATGTATACAGCAGAGACTTGAGCTGCAGTGCTGAGCAACAAACAGCAGCTGTGGATTTTCCATATACCCCAATGTAGATCTAGAAACTTTGTTACATAAATATTGCAGACATGCCTCGGTGTGGGATTGCTGCATCCTGTATCAACCTTTTTTTTTCACCTGACTGTGGAGAGATCTTCTAGTTGTGAGGATCCAGCCCTAGATTAAGCCCTTCCCTTTAGACCTAGGACTAAAATCAGATTTGTGGATTTGACCCCTAGTTTCTGCGGTTAGCCGTGATTTGGAAACTGGGCTGAAATCCTTCTGAAAACAAAACCACCATAGACAGTCATATCACCATGAAAAAAATAAATATGAATTGTGGGACATTTGCACAGCATGTAGGATATCCCATTGTGAGGCTATATATGCTTTTTTGAAGCAGGGTGGATATGAACATTTTCTTAAAAGTACCTTTTGGAAGGGAACCACCATCTGACATACCCCTGATTTCATATTTATCAGCTATTAAATTAAAATATATACATACAGATTGCTTTAGGCTTTGTAAATGGTGATTTTTTTAAGTTCTAAAATGTCTGGTATGTTAATGAATCAGCTTACTGCCTGTCTAAGCAATCAGCTCTCTGCATGATCTCCCCCATTAGTTCTCATTCACAGTCTGTAGCACAGGTTGCCTGATACAGGTCATTTATTCAGTCTCTCAATAGGTGGCTCATACACAGACTTTTTATTAGCTAGATTATGCCATTTTTAGTTTGCATGAAGCCTACTTTCATAGCCAGTTGGTGTCCACTGAATTTAGTCCTAGAGGATAACCTGCAATATTTGCCTGAAAGTGCAGTCAAAGTATAATTATGTCTGTTTGTCACTAGAGATTTCAAACTCACAATAGGTTCCAAACTCACAGATTCTTCAATCTTAGATACTACTGATGGCAGTCTTATAGCTGAACTCTGGAGAAAAGTAAAACCCTCCCTTGCAATGGAGCTCCCCTGCACTTCAAGGATTAAAGCGGTATTAAACCCAAAATTAAAAATGTAATATATTGCAGTTTACCAATCATTAGATGTGGTGGCTGCATTAGTTTCCTTTTTTAGCCTTTTCCCCCCCTCTGTGTTCAGCTGGTGACATGCCAGTAACACACCTCCTGTATTACAGCCCCCCCACTCTAGATGAAGGAGCATCGTGGGCACATTTGGACAGCAGCATTGTCAGTCTGTGAGGGAGTGGAGTGTTAGATGTACTAGTGGATTTAAATACACTAACCCCCAGTTCACATATATACGGCCGCACGGGACGCGTTTTGCACGGGCACGAGAGCCCATTCATTTGAATGGACTTCTGTGCTTGTGACACGCAGGGAAGAAGTCCCTGCAATTCTTTGGAAAACGCAGCCCGCACGGGAACCTTGGTTCCCAGTACGGTTGCATTTTCCAGTGCGGGCGGCGTGACATTAGAACTAATGGCATTCATCCGTGGGTCCGCATTTCTCTGTGCGGGTGGTGCGGCTGCACAGATTTACGTGCAGATCTGCAGCGGCACCACCCGCACAGATTTGAACCTAGCGGAAGAAATTGATACCAAACTGCAGCTAACACTTTATAAGCAGTTACAGCTAAATTTTTTTGCTTGTGGGATAAAGGTTTTACATAAATAAATAAAAACTGATCATTGTAAGCACCCCTGCCCGTGTTAAATGGTTTGTCTCATCCATGTTACTGATACATCTGCAAGAGAACTAGTCCTTTAAAATACCACAGACTTACTGGCCAGATCACCAGATGAAAACAGAAAAAAGAAAATACATGTTTGCTTTTGGGTTTAATACTGCTTTAAATGCTTATGTGTGCCTAGGGTACCAGTAAAAATTTATTTTTCTTACCTAATACCTCACAGACACCCTCCACATTATGTAGGTGTGACAAGTGCTTCTGACTTACAGTGGATATAAAAAGTCAGGTTTCTGTGATATAAAGAAAAGAGAGACAAAGATAAATAATTTCAAAACTTTTTCCACCTTTAATGTGACCTATAAACTGTATAACTCAGTTGAACAACAAACTGAAATATTTTAGGTGGAGTGAAGTAAAATAACAAAACTAAAATAATATGGTTGCATAAATGTGCACACCCTTAAACTAATACTTTGTTGAAGCACCTTTTGATTTGATTCCAGCATTCAGTCTTTTTGGGTATGAGTCTATCAGCATGGCACATCTTGACTTGGCAATGTTTGCCCATTCTACCTTGCAAAAACACTCCAAATCTGTCAGATTGTGAGGGCATCTCCTGTGCACAGCCCTCGTCAAATCACCCCACAGATTTTCAATCGGATTCAGGTCTGGGCTGTGGCTGGGGCCATTCCAAAACTTTAATCTTCTTCTAGTGAAGCCATTCCTTTGTTGATTTGGATGTATGATTTGGGTCGTTGTCATGCTGAAAGATGAAGTTCCTCTTCATGTTTAGCTTTTTAGCAGAAGCCTGAAGGCTTTGTGCCAATGTTGACTTGTATTTGGGACTGTTCATAATTCCCTCTACCTTGACTAAGGCCCCAAATCCAGCTGAAGAAAAACATGATGCTGCCACCACCATGCTTCACTGTGGGTATGGTGTTCTTATGGTGATGTGCAGTGTTGTTTTTGCTCCAAAAATATCTTTTGGAATTATGAATTATCAAGAGAAGAGTGAAAAAGATACACAAAGAAAAAAGGGAGGAGAGAAAACTCCTCACATAGAAGAAAAATAGCGGGATTTTAAGAGTGCCATATAGTAATAGAACAACAATGAAAGTTAAAATTTACAATGTTTATTGTAACATGATTTTGAATGCGATTGCCTAATTCTGAACACAGCTACATCCCCAGTTATAAGAGGGTATGCACACTTATGCAACCGCATTATCTTAGTTTTTTATGTTTACTTCTCTCCAGGGCTGTGGAGTCGGTAGATAAATGTTCCGACTCCGACTCCTCAGTTTTTTGTACTTCCGACTCCTCTGTATTAATATGCGAATGTATTTTATACATTCCTTGAAGGAAAGAAAGGCAACATACATGACATTACCACAGGACTACTGGCTGGGAAGCCAACAGTCTACTGTATTGAATAGTTTAAGCAAAAGACAAACACAATGAAAACAACAAAGTTTTATTAATTTTTTTTTATTAATTAATAAGTGGCTGGATAGTAGCAGCAGGCATAAACATCAGGAACAGGAACTTTACCAGTCCAAAAATACAAACCACATTATTTGGTTGTTTTAGAACAAAAACAAAGCTTATCTATATGAACCAAAAACAAAATCTGTAAAACACTATGGAAAGTATAAGTATTGCTGCTCCTAATTGTGCGTTGCGTGCCATATAGTGAAGCGCATGAAAAGCAGGCTTCTTCACGGTCACTTAACGTGTTCGTTTTGCGGTTACGTGAGGCACTGCATGCATTGGTCTTTATTCTTACAGTAGAGAAGTCATTAATTATAACTTTTTGTGAATTGGGACATTTAAACTTGCTTTTTTTTTAATTCCAATCTAAATTTAGTCGGAGTCGGAGCATTGTTTGCCGACTCCGACTCCAGGTACCCAAAATTTCCTCTGACTCCGACTCCACAGCCCTGCTTCTCTCCCCCTAAAAGATTTCAGTTTGTTTTTCAATTGAGTTGTACAGTTTATAGGTCACATTAATGGTGGAAAAAGTTCTGAAATGATTTATCTTTGTCTCATTTTTTTACATCACAGAAACCTGACATTTTAACAGGGGTGTGTAGAATTTTTATATCCACTGTAGTTTTGAATTTAGAAATGCTTTATGTTGCACAAATCAATTTTGGAGCTGGTGCTAAAAGCCCCATGTGACAATGCCAGTCCATCTTTCCTTTCAGTGAGTAGAAGAATGAAGTTGGTAAATGCATGTTGACCATACCTACAGAAGATGGCCAGAAGTCTCCCCACCTTTCAT